GCGAAAGATGCATATAAAAGATATAATCAGCATTTGCATAAAAGACGATAAATAGGCAATAGATATGATTATGAGGAGGAGGGTAATGCTAATAATTGATAGATGGATGATGCAATTATTAGTAATAAAGTAATGGTATTAGTAACGATGATAATGACAGTCATTGTGGATGTCACTGGGGCTAAGATGAATGATAATGAATCCTAATGATAATGAAAAAGATGCATTGTACCGATAATGATGATGATGACGACGAACTAATAATAATAATAATAATAATAAAGCGAAACTGATAATGTGATTTTCTTTTTCTTAGTGTCACTTGTCATCTGATTTTACTTATTTTACTCTGTTATTATTTTCTTTACTTTTTTCTTTGTTTCACCCATTTTTCTCTTCCTTTCAAGTATCTTACTTTCTTTAATTTCCCCGTCTCTCACCCTCTTTACCCTCTATCTCTTTCTCTCGTTTTCTCTCGCTCGTTCTCTCTCTCTCTCGCTCTCTCTCTCTCTCTCTCTCTCTCTCTCTCTCTCTCTCTCTCTCTCTCTCTCTCTCTCTCTCTCTTCTCTCTCTCTCCTCTCTCCTCTCTCTCTCTCTCTCTCTCTCTCTCTCTCTCTCCCTCTTCTCTCTCTCTCTCTCTCTCTCTCTCTCTCTCTCTCTCTCTCTCTCTCTCTCTCTCTCTCTCTCTCTCTCTCTCTCTCTCTTCTCTCCCCTCTCCCTCTCCCTCTCCCTCTCCCTCTCTCTCCCTCCATCCCTCCATATATATATATATATATATATATATATATATATATATATATATATATATATATATATATATATAATTAACATATATATATATATACATATATATATATATATATATATATATATATATATATATATATATATATATATATATATATATATATATATATATATATATATATATTGTGGAGGTTCTTCAAACCTCGCCTCTGAGAGACGTAGCAGAATCCAGAAGGGGTGTCCAGATGATCTCCATTTCCCCTGCGTGGGACACTATTTTTTTATTGTTTTTACCCCTGCTCGTTTTTAGTTAAGTTATCCCTATTTTTAGCTCCGTTTTCTAAGTTTGTTCATCACGTTTCTTAGTTTGTTTCGTTCTTTTAAGTAATGACTGATGTCTTTTATTGTTTAAGTTTTAAAGTTTACTGCCTTAATATTTTATTTATTGCTTTTAATCAATTTGACCGTCATTTTAATTGTTCATTTTCGGATTAAGATTATTTTTCCGTATTCTTATTTTATCGATTTGTTCCTTTTATAGATGAGCATGACGGGTTTGTCCTTTTTATTTTGTAAACTTGTCTTTTTATTATATGTATTTGTATTTTTGTTTTATGATTTTACTCTGTAATTGATTTTATTCTTGTTTTACGTTTTTCAAATCGTCCTTTTAGCTTTTAGGGATGTCAATGACGTTTGTACTTTTTAAGATGCTTTATTTTTCAATGGTTTTAATTTTTTGTCTTAATCTTTTTATCTTTTTATCATCCCTGGTTGTTTTTATATATACCTTAAATTTTTCACATTTTAATTATGTTTTATTTAGAAGTTATTGAAAATGAAGGCAGTGACGTCAGCAAGACGTCCGCATAAATACGGATCCGCCATAACAATAAAGAGAGATCTATCTGAACCTGTTTGTGTCACCCCTTTCTGGATTTACTTCAGCCTGAGACGTTAGCAGAACAAAGGTTGTACTGAGCATACTTCCCGTTACTTGCCTAGGGTATTTGCTGGACGTTGTCTTATTTATTTATGTGTTTTTTATGTGTTTTATTGTTTTCAAGTGTTTTTTTACGTATTTTTACACGAATCCCTTCTGGATTCGTCTTTTCTCGTTTTGCTTTTAACGTCAGTTCCTTTTTAAGTATTGTATTTGATATTTTAGTCCTATTTTAGTAAGTTAACGTAAGTTTTCTTTTCTTATCTTGGTGTTTTTAAGTAAAGTAACGTAATTTTAGTGTGTGAGTTCTTGTTTTACCTTTTTAAGCCTTAAGCAGTTTTAGTTTCAATATTTTATTTCTTTTGCATATTTTAAATAATAGGCTGAGTCACAAGGACTTTTAGTAATATTTCTCCGCTCTGGGTACACGTTACACCTGCGTATGATCCTGGGTCAGTGCCCGCTACCATTTCACAGGCCCAGGATCTGTTTTAACTTGTTCAGGGGAGTGAACGGGACCCCCATTTGCGTCCCTAAGCCGTTCCTGCTTCACGGGAGGCTTCAGCTCGCTTCACGAGGCTGGGGTTTAAGTCGGGCTCCTCATCATAGACCTTGGATACTTACATATTTGGTGGCTAGCGGTGAAATGTACCTTTTATGAGCTATACCAGGAGAATATTACGGAGTTCCTTGTAGGCTGAGAACGTCCGGCACAATCAGTTCTTTCCTGTTAGGATATTTTATGCATGTTCATTGTACCTCCTACGGGAGTTTTGGGAGAGCCACTTCGCCATATTATGTGTCTTTTGTTTTCTCTTTCAGTGGTATTTTAAATGTGTAGTTTTCAAGAGCGGTTTTTTTTTCTTGCAGCATAATTCTCTTCTCTTGCAGAGTTAGATTTATGTGTCTTAATGCCCGCTCGCCCAGCTAGGCTTACTTTGTGGCTCTCGTCAGTTTTAGGGACACTGTATGTTTCTCTTTTTACGTGTATAATTATCCTTTGGCAGCTCCATGGATCATACAGTGACTTGTGTGTTACGGTGTGTTACAGTGATTTTTGTGTAATATAGTGACTGAAACAGTGCAGTGATTTTGATGAAGGGTGCAGTAACGTGTTAAAGTGTGTAGTGACATTGGAAAAGTGCAGTAACGGGTTTGTGAACAGTACAAGGCTATGAACAGTGAGACGAGGTTGAGCAGTGCAGTGGACTTTGAATCGGTGCAATACAGCCAGATATTGCTGAACGCCTAAGAACAGTACCGAGCAGTGAACGAACAGTGCTGAAGTTTTACAGACGGTGTTAAGCGTATGTGAACAGTGACAAGATTGTGAACAGTTAAGTCTATGAACGGTGTCTGGTGATATTCGAACAGTGCTTGCTGTGTCTGTGGATGATATAGTTCTCGGAGTGCCTCTCGACTGTATTTGTGGTGCATTGTGTGCAGGATGCCCAAAGGCAAGAACACGGGAATTCGTAGGAATTTACGATCTTCCAGCCACCCTAGTTCCCGTGACCGTTTCTCCGGCAGCAGGCTTATCCATCTCTGTCGATCAGCTCCCCATAGTCGTAGGTGGCTCGAATCCAGAGGTACGAAGCAGTGAGAGCCATGAGGGAGAGATTAGTGTGCTGGCCCAAATCCTTGACAAAATCGAAGCCTTGTCAAGTGAACTCAGTGAAGTCAAGGCTCAGACACAGCAGTTCAACGAAAGGCTCGCCCGGCAGGAAGCTGTGTCCAGACCCCGACAGGTAGAAGCAGAGGTCGAAGTTCTTCAACCTCAGGAACCTTCTGCTAGTACTCGGAGGGATGAGGAGATAGAGGAACTACGGCGGCAGTTACATGAAAAGGAAGAAGAACTTCAAAGGGAGAAACAGCGTAATAGGGAGAGACGTAACTTGCAGCCTCCAGAAACGCAGCTCCGCTTCTCAGAGAACCCCGAAGACTACGTCCAGAGGCCGACTTCTGCTCGGCTTCCTCCAGAGCCACGACCACGCAGCTCCCCAGAGTATGCTGATCCTCGACTGCCGCAGGGAACACCGCAACTAACAGCTGCAGCACAACGTGGGTCCTTGGATGACAGCTCTACATCTCGAGCCCTTACTCCAGCTGTGTCCTATGTTGTAGCTCGGGAGTCGGTTCCCCATTTTAAAGGAGACACCTCAGCATCCCAGCCGCTGAAAAGGAACCAGATGTGGAGGCCTGGATTCGCTCCATAGAGAACCTCGTGAAACCACCTACTGACGAGGCTTACATCCAGGCTGCACGAGCGAACTGTAGAGGCCCTGCAGAGCTTATAATAAACTCTCCCCTGTTTGACTTCATCCGTGACTGGGAGACATTTAAGGCCTCTCTACGCACCAAGTTTAGGGGAACTTACACGTCTGCTGATTTTTATAAGGTGCTTTATGAAAACAGGATGTCTTCAGTGCAGGCTCCCATGGATTTTTATCTCCAGTTAGAAGGTCACGTCTACCAGGGGTATCGCGACCATCGAGAAGCAATAGGTGATCCCTCCGAGCTTGTTCGTCGGGTTTTCCTCTCCGGCATTCCATCCTGGCTTAGGGATTTCTTGGCAGTTAAAGATGACTGCTCCCCCATGCAGCTTGCGGAAACAGCCCAGAGGATATGGAACTCCAGGAACGGGATCAGGCATGAATCAGCTACTCGACATCAGTCTCCAAATGAGTTTCGCCTGGATGACGACCGTGACCACCGCCACTATCCTGATCGCCCACCCAGAGCTCGGGACTTGTATGCTTGCCCTATAGCTGCACAGGTGGACAGAGTGAAGACCCCACAGCTTATTCCACCTCGTGATCCCTGGTGTAGCTTCCATGGAACAGCCACTCACAACACCTCTGAGTGCCGAGCAGCTTCTTATGTGACTTCTGCGCGAAACCGACCCCATCCTTCCAGAGACATCACCTGCTACCGTTGCCGAAGATCTGGGCACATGGCTAGACAATGTCCCTTTCCGAGTGGCCAGCAAGGAGAAGCTCCCAGTCCAGCTGGCGGAGTTCCAGAAGGGGGCAGTAACTTCCACCAGTACGCAGACAGAAACCACAATGTCTCAGATAGCCATGTTGAGTTCCCTCGGGTTGTCAGGACGGCCTCTCGTGGGACTCAATATTAATGGTAAGACAACCCTGTGCTTCATTGACACTGGATCTGAAGCCACCTTGATCAAGCCAAGTGCTGTAGCCATGATCGTGTCCCACCAAAAGCTTCAGCACAGACGTCTACCAAGATTCTCCGAGGAGTCACAGGGCAACCACTCCAAGTATCAACTGAGGTGACACTCCACTTTCAAATGGCTGAGGATTCTGTCATTGTTCATCAGGCCAGTGTGGTTGACGTCTCCTTCCCAGGTGACATACTTATTGGGATGGATCTCCTCAGACGGCTGGACTTCACTTTCTCCTCCGAAGCGTCAACTGGGAATGCCACCATTACTCTGCAGGGACACAAGTTCTCAGTAGTATATACTGATGCAGAGTCTCTCAAGATCTGTTGCATCAAACCCCTGTCACCTACAGAAGATGCCAGTGAAGATGCACCAGTTTCTGCCCAAGATCCTCAGACCGTTGCAGCAGTGCATCTTGTTCACCGTGCAAGTATTGCAGCTCACAGTGGCTGCTTTGTTGAAGGCTGTGTTTCGCGGAACGGACCAACAGATGGCGATATCCTTGTAGTTCCAGCTATGCCGAAAGGACTTCTTTTACCTCATGCTGTACAAAGGTGAAGGATCGTCGGTGCTCTGTGTGGGTGGTGAATGCGACTCCAAAACCGATGGTTTTACATAATGGAACACGCCTTGGGAAGGCAGAGCAGGTAGAAGCCATTTACACCAATGACCCATCTCAACAACTGCCCAAGATGCCTGAGGAAGTCGTCGCCAGGTCCACTACTGTCCTGTCGAGCCTGATTCCCTTGAGGATGGAGAAACCTTTGACTTTGAGTGGGAAGAAGATTGCTTTGACCGACAATATGGAGTCGAAGACTTCGGCTATGATGATGAGCTGGAGGTTGAACACATGGAGCTGCCACCCTCTATTGCCATTGCTGCCTGTGAAGCTGCCGAACTCCTGGAACACGGTCCAAACCTGGATGACCACCAGATGCCAGATCTCGGCCACCTTGAAGACCCCCAACGCCATCAGCTGACTGAGCTGCTTTGTCGTTTCAAGGGGCTCTTTGATGGTGGTGAAGAAGCTGTAGGTCTTGTACCTGGAATCAAGCATCAGATTGACACAGGAGATGCCAAGCCTGTTTGCATCCGACAGTGGCGATTACCCCATTCAACACGGCAAGTTATTCGTGAGCAGTGTGACTCTATGCTTCGCTCAGGGGTCATTGAGGAATCCACATCCCCCTGGATGAGCCCTGTTGTGCTGGTTAAGAAGAAGGGAGGAGCTCTCAGGTTCTGTGTTGATTACCGTGGCCTGAACGCAGTGACCAAGGGTGATACGTATCCTCTGCCTCTTATCAGCGAACTCATCGATGAACTGGGCCCAAAGAACATCTTTACCACCTTAGATGCCCGCGCTGCATACTGAGTGTGGAATTGGAAGAAGAGGATCGACCAAAGACGGCGTTTTCAGATGGCTACCGACTCTTCCAGTTCTGCCGTCTTCCTTTTGGCTTATCAACAGCTCCAACCACGTTCCAGAGGACTATGAATGTCGTCTTATCGTCGGTACTGGGACGTCATACATTAGCCTACTTAGATGACGTTATCATTTACAGCCACAACTTCGACCAACACCTCCAAGATCTAGACGAGACCTTGCAGTTGCTGTCATTGGCCGGCCTGAAACTTAACATGGACAAGTGCCAGTTTGCAGCCACAACCATAGATTTCCTCGGCTTCACGATTTCCCCTGATGGAGTCTCCCCTAACAAGGATAAGGTTTTGGCTATCTCTAACACCCCACCACCACGTACAGTTAGAGAAGTTCGTCGTTTCCTAGGAGCAACAGGATTTTTCAGGAAACATGTTCCAGGATATGCAACCTTAGCATCACCATTGCATCTGTTGCTGAAAAAGGATCAAGCTTGGACCTGGGGACCCGAACAACAAGCCGCGTTTGAAACTCTGAAAGAGAAGCTGACATCTGCTCCAGTCTTACGCCAGCCTGACTTCTCCAAGGGATTCGAACTTCACACTGATGCCTCTAGTATTGCACTGGGGGCCTGTCTCATGCAGAGAGATGATGACCAGACACCGCATGCAGTTGCCTATTTCAGCAGAAAGCTCCGTGATGCAGAAACTCGCTATCCAGCCATCGACTTAGAAGCTCTAGCTGTTGTGGAAGGAGTCCGGACCTTCGATTCCTATCTTTATGGAAGGCGCTTCACCGTGTACACCGACCACCGCCCCTTAGTGTATGTGTTCAGCAGGAAGACCAAGTCTCCTAGGATGACAAGATTCGCCCATGACTTGTCTTTCTATGATTTTAGCATCAGGTACAAAGAGGGCCCCACCAATAAAGTGCCAGACTTGCTCTCCAGACAAGTTGCAAAGCTGACAATAACAGAGCTCTCTCCTGAAAGCCTTGCAGAAGAGCAGAAAGCAGATCCTCAGCTTGCAGAGATTTGCAGTTATTTGGAAGGGGGAAACCTGCCAACTAAGAAGCTTCCTCTTCCTCTTGCTGACTTTGAATTGAAGGAAGGCGTCCTCTACCGGTTGAAGAATCTACCAGATCGGATTGTATACCAGTTAGTAGTTCCAGTGACTCTACGAAATTCGGCATTAAAAGCATCACATCTTCCTCCACTTGCTTCTCATCCAGGCATCCATCGAACATTTCAAAATGCAAGATCAATGTTTTACTGGCCAAACATGCTGAAAGATGTACGACAGTATGTAGAATGCTGCGAGATTTGCCAACAATCAAGAGGCGACAGGCAAAAGGTTCCTATGGCTGAGACACCCCTTTCTAACTTTCCATTGGAACGAGTCTCGATGGACATTATGGACTTTGGGCCCAGCATTCCCATCCGCTGGGCGTTATCCATCATAGACCAGCATTCACGGTATTTGCAGATCATACCTCTACGGAAAGTCACTGCTGTCGCTGTCCACCGAGCCTTTCTGGACCATTGGGTAACCCTCTTCGGCCCTCCTAGGGTTATCCAAACTGACAACGGAGTCCAATTCACAAGCAACCTGTTTAAGGAACTCGCTAAACTGATGCATGCTACCAACCACTACACCATTCGCTACCATCCTCAAGCAAATGGTTTGATTGAGCGTACCAATCGTGTGGTAAAGTCTGCCCTTACTTCTCTTGTCAATGATCGCCCACGAACCTGGCACCAGTTTGTTCCTGAGTTGCGGCTACAGATCAACTCGGCTATCCATCGGACCACAGGGGAGCAACCCCTTTACATGCTAACCGGCCGCCATGCTAACTTCCAGATTGGGCTCACCAATGAAGCAGTTTTTGATGAGAACGTGAATCTTCAAGCACGTTTACGAGAGGCCCGCCAAGCAGCTGTGAAAGCCTCTAAGGAAGCACGACAGATTTATGGCAAGCAATACAACAAAGGCAAGAAGGTGGAATTTCAGCCGACTGAAGGTGCGTTGGTATGGTACTTTGAAACATCGACACAAGATGGGCGGTCTACCCCTCTCACCAGAAAGTGGAGAGGTCCTGCCAGGATCATCAGACGTCTGGGTCCAGTTGCCTTTGAAATTGAAGACCTCGAAACAGAAGTTCAGTTCAGAGGCCACCC